GTCTTTTGAGCCAGGGTCTCCTTGTTGCCCTAGCTGGCCTGTAACTCACTATGTAGACCAGGCTGGTCTTGGAACTCACAGAGATCCACCTGCCTCTGCCTCCCAAGTGCTGGGATTAAAGGCATGCGCCACCACACCTAGCAACATATATTAATTTTCTAGATTAGTGGTGGGCTACACCTTTTAATGCTATTTAAATTTTTAAAACTGGTTTATTGTTTTTATTTTATGTACGTCAGTCAGTGTATAACCTGCATGTGTGTATGTGCACCCATGTTGTACAGTGCCTGCAGAGGTCAGAAGAGGGTGTCAGATCCCCTGGAACTGGAGTTAAGGACAGTTGTTATCTGCCATGTGGGTGCTGGGAATTGAACCCAGGTCCTCTGCAAGAGCAGCAGTGCTCTTAACTGCTGAGCCATCTCTCCTGCCCCATAATTGAATATTTATTTGTATATTATGCTTGGAATTTTAGTAGGGCTGGAGGTGTAGCTCAGACAACTTTCAGGAACCATTTTTCTCCTTCCACCATGTGAGTCCTGGGGATCGAACAGGTCTCACCAGTCCTGGCTGTAAAGTTCTGTGGAATACTTACTATATACTAGGCATTGTGCCAAGCCCTTCATGAGTCTGTTTCATGATTCTGAACATGAATCATCATGCTGTATGCCTTCAAGGGGCATAACTACTATCCCCCCTTAAACCTTAAAATAATGTTGATCTCCCCATTTTTGCCTATTGTCTATTTGTAGTTTTCCTATCTTCAGTCTCTACCCCGTCATTTCTCATTCATGTGTAGCTAACAGTCTGGATCCTTAAGGACCTACTTTGAATTTTATGTGAGACATTTCTAGTTGCTGAGTTTCATTAAAAGATGAATTGTTTTGCTGGTTCTTTTCAGAGATAGTCTTGTAGTGCTTTACCTATTTATATTCCATTTTATTTACAGAGGTCTTGCAGTCTATGCCAAATAGGTATATAATTGACTTTAAATTTTTATTATTTACCCTTTCAAGGCTGGCAAATGATCTAAAACATATGTAAGCAGAAGCTAAATGAGAGTGACTGTTCATTCAGCTGTATATGCATATAGAGCTGTAGCGTTCTGGTGGGTTTTGGTTTTTGTTGTTTTGGGAGAATACCAGTTTCTCTTTGTTCATGCATTTATACTGAAAACAATGTCAAATCTCAGGTAACCAGCTTATAAAATACAATGGGACTCCTTAAGATTTGCACCACCAAGGTTTTCATTCTACATTCTCTCCCTCCCTCCCTCCCTCCCTCCTTTTTTCCCTTTTCTTTCTTACAGATTCTCGCCTCTATTGAGCTGCTGGCCCGCTCATTGCCAAAAATTCACCGCAGTGCATCAGAACCCTCCTTGAATCGGGCTGGTTTCCAGACAGAAGATTTTAGTCTGTACGCTTGTGCTTCTCCAAAAACACCCATCCAAGCAGGGGGATATGGTGCGTTTCCAGTACACTAAGACAGATTAAATGAGTGAGAAATTAAAGTAAGGTAGCAACAGAAATAAATTTTTGCATATATGTTAAGTTGACTAGGACACTCTGTTATTTATAGATGAACCAATGAATACTTATGTGTTTAAAAACTTGGTAATTTTTTTCCAAATCCAAAAGTCATACCTAATGTTGAATTTTAAACATCGATGGTTCAAAATATGCAAACATCACTAAACATTTTCAGTGCCTTGTCCAGAGGTCTTACTTCCTATACTGAGTTTGTCTTGTTCATTGGCTAGTCTAAGTATTAAACTCCAATTTTCTCTTTTAGTTTTCTTTTGCAGCTTTTGTCATTAACTCTCACTTGTCATCAGGGGTTCGGGGGAGGACCACTCCTCTGCATGTTCACAGATGGGAAATTCAGTAGGCTAGCCTCTGTCCGCTAAGGCAGACAGACAGGTATAGAATTGAATAATCCTTTTTTTTATTCTTAATATTTTTTCTATAACTTTCTTTTAGAAAATGTGGATGTTCTTTATTTCCTTGGGTACAATTAGCCAAAAATATTGCTGAATGGCACATTTGACATATATAAAATGACAACTTTGGGTTTTTAGTAGGGAAGTATAAATCAAGGTCCTTCTTAGATAATGTTTATATATTAAAGGTGTCTTATGTCAGTAAAAGTTGAGTTTCCTTGCAAAAACATTGTTCCTTATTCCCACTCCCTCCTCTGAAAAAGTAACTTTACAAAATTCTAAGGACTTTCAGGTTTGTTTTTCTCTTACATAACTGGTTGCCAGACAACCAGGTAATGGGTTAAATTACTGTTTTAGGTCATACTTACCTTTTGTGATGTGTGTTAACGTTTGCCTTATCATTATGTCTTATAAAATCTTTTTCTCCTGATATCCTACCTCCAACAAGATCCTACTCAAGCTGAATGCCTGATACTCTCTTTTTGCATTCCACAGTGTGAAGTACTTCTTTACTTTTGTTTTTTTAGACAAGGTCTCCCAGTAGCCCTAGCTGGCCTTGAACTCGCTTTCCATACCAGGCTGGCCTCAATCTGTTAGAATCACTTGCCTCTGCTGGGATTTAAGGCTTGTGTCACCACAAGTTTGTGAAGTATTTATAAATGTTTACATTTTTATGTGAAAGAAAAAAAGAGTGTGTCATAGACACCATGCAGTAGAACCTTCCTGTGATTTAGACTCTAAAGGCAGAAAGGTAGCATCATTACAGCCCTTTCAAAATCCTACCACCTCTATTTCACAGTTACCTAGGGACCAAAGCCAGCCTGTGACATCTTCACCTACTCAGTTTAGACTGTGGTGATATTTAAATACAGCCAAAAGCAGAAGTTATTCAGCAGGCAAATCATTTGCATACATTCCATCCTTCTTTGAAATCAGTAAAGCAGAAAATTGGGAAAACCTTAAAAATAATAGAGTTTGTAAGTATCACAGATAAACTTCTGAAATATTCCTTATTTGCATAGTTAGAGTCATCTAAGGAAACTGATTAATAATCTTGATAGCATACCTTTTGTCCCTCATTTGAGTAAGTTAAGAATGCTATCATGCCAGGCGTGGTGGCGCACGCCCTTAATCCCAGCACTCGGGAAGCAGAGGCAGGCAGATCTCTGAGTTCAAGGCCAGCCTGGTCTACATAGTGAGTTCCATCATGATTGCTGTATTCTGATTCACGACTAAAGATAGAAGAGTAAAAAAAAAAAAAAAAAAAAAAAAAAAAAAAAAAAAGAAAAGAAAAGAATGCCATCATGATTGCTGTATTCTGATTCACGACTAAAGATAGAAGAAAGCATTTCTCATGCTTAACAAAAAAGCCAGGCATGGTGGAGTCAAGAGGATTGCAAGTTCAAGGCAGGTCTGGGCTACATAGCAAGATCCTGTCTCAAAAAAACAGAGACTGGGGATGTAGCTCAGTAGTAGAATATTTAATAGAATGTGTAAGTGTTTATATAGTGTTTGATCCCCAGCATGGGAAACTGAAATTATAAAAAGAGATTAAAAACAATTCACTATGTTGGAAACTATCAAAACTTATGATCTCTGAATGCTCTGGTGACATAAAGATGGGATTATTAGTAAAGTAGTAGGTGGAGTTACATGTAGTTAAGAAGGGTTTTTGTTTTCATTTGTTTTCCTGGTCTTTTTGGGATAGGGTCTCCCTGTAGCCCCAGCTGGCCTGGAACTCAGTATGTAGACCAGGCTGGCCTCAAAATCACAGAGAGCCACCATGCCCGGCTTAACAAGGATTTTTTTTTTTTTTTTTTTTTTTTGAGACAGGGTCTCCCTGTAGCCCCAGCTGTCCTGGAACTCACTATGTAGACCAGGCTGGCCTCGAACTCACAAAGATCCGCCTGCTTCTGCCTCCCAAATGTTGGGGTTAAAGGCATACGCCACCACGCCTGGCTTAACAAGGATTTTTTAAAATATTTTATTATTTTTGTTTTATGTTTGTGTATGAGTGTTTTGCCTGCATGCATACAAGCACACCCATGTCATGCTGTGCGTGTCCACAGAGGTCAGAAGAGGGTGTCAGATCCCCTGAAACTGGAGTTATGGATGGTTGTTAACCACCATGTGGGTGCTCTTAACGACTGAGCCATCTCTCCAACCCTGTTAACAAGGTTTTTACAGAATTAACTTCATCTGTGGAATGCTCAAAAGCTTTGAGCATGTGAGACACAGGATCAAAGGAGTTTTTAAGTGGAGCTCTTTTGCAATCTCCCATTTACCTGTTGTCTTACTCATTCCTGTGTTCCTTTCATTGCTCACTGTCTCCTCAGCACCACCATGCCCAGGGCTCTGCTATCCGTATTTGACTTCTTCCTTTTTTCTTTTTTTGGTCTTTTTGAGACAGGGTCTCCCTGTAGCCCTAGCTGGTCTGGAACTCACTATGTAGACCAGGCTGGCCTTGAACTCACAGAGATCAACCTGCCTCTGCCTCCTAAGTGCTGGGACTAAAGCTGTGCCCACCACACCTTTTCCTTTTTTCTTGCTCTTTTTCTTTCTTCATCTTTCCTTTCTTTCTTTGCCAGCCAGCAGGCTTTCCTCAGCTCCCCCAAGCTACTCAGAAGCTCATTGTCCTGTAGACACTCAGCATGCCCGGTAGGCTGCATAGTCATTGCATTCCCTTTCCCCATTTGTCCCATTGGAAAAGTGGTCAAAGGAAAGAACATTAAAATATGGCAGATGAATCATTCAGGTAACATAGATCCAGAGAAATCAGAAGCACTAAACTAAATCAGTTTCCCTTTCTGTGTGTGTTTGGTACTATTGTTGCATTGGTACTATTTTTTATCATGAATTCTAGATGCCATACCAAAAAGAAAAAACATGATGCATTCCTTATATATGTACAGAATTTCTGCTGACACAAAACCTTCCTGTGATTATACTCTAAATGTTCTACTCTAGGCCTTTTGTTTGGGGTTGGTTGGTTTGTTTGTTTGTTTTTGGGACAGAGTCTCAACCATGTAACTCTGACCTAGAACTCTGTAGAACAGGCTGGCCTTCCCAGTGCTAGGATTAAAATGTGCCACCACACTCAGCTACTAGGCCTTCTTAAGTTGTGTGATTTGGAGCAAGTTTCTTGACTACTCTGGACCCCCACTTGCTCATTTGCAAAATAAATTGACTCTAACCCAGGCTGGCCCAGAACTTTGAACTTTCCTACCACAACCTCCCCAGGTGCTGAAATTACAAATGTGAACCACTGTGCCCAGCTTCCTTTTGGCTCAACAGTGTCTTGGTCACTTGCTTATTAAAAAGAATCCTTGAGGGCTGGAGAGATGGCTCAATGGTTAAGAACCTACACTGGTTGTTCTTGCAGAAGACCCAGATTCAAATCCCAGCACCCATATGGCAGCTAACAACTGCCCGTAACTCCACTCCCAGGGGATCCGATGGCCTCTTCTGTCCTCGTGGGCATTGCACAACACGGGTGCACTTACATACATGCAGGGACTACACACATGCACATAAAATAAAAATAATAAAATATATATATAAAAGAATCCTTGGGTGGAGGAGACAATATGACTGGCTGTGGTTCCGTTAGTTATATTCAGTGGGAATAATTACTAAAAGTTGTTTAGAGAGCTGAGAATGATAGTGCACCCTGTAATTGCAGCACTGAGGAGACGGGGGCCACCCTGGACTACATAACTCTCAAAACAGCAAAAAAAAAATTGGAGGGGGCTTGTTCATTGTTAATGTGCTTTGGAGGCAGCACTTGGAGTAACATTCCAGTTCTTTAGTTTTCTAGTTATGTTCTTGACTACTCTGGACCCCAGTTTGCTCCTCTGTAAAATAAAGATAAATAATAGCATCTGTCTGATGGAATTATTATGAAGATTGGATGCAAATGTGTATGAAGTATTCAATGTGACACCTGACTTACATCGGACACTCAAATAGTTTTTTTTGTTTTGGTTTGGGGGGGGGAGGTTTTGAGGTTTTGGGTTTTTTTTTTTTTTTTTTTTTTGGCCTTTTTGAGACAGGGTCTCCCTGTAGTTCCAGCTGTCCTGGAACTGACTATGTAGACCAGGCTGGCTTTGAACTCACAGAGATCCGCCTGTCTCGGCCTCCCAAGTGCTGGGACTACAGGTGTGCGCCACCACGCCTGGCTTTTTGAGTCTTTTTTGAGACAGGGTCTCGCTGTAGCCCTAGCTGGCCTGGAACTTGCTATGTAGGCCAAGCTGGCCTGGAACTCATAGAGATCCTGCCTCTGCCTTCCTAGTGCTGGGATTAAAGGCATGTCCACCACACCCAACATAGTTGCTAATTTTATCAGCATGCAAACCTTAAAATTCAATCACCTAGTCTTTAGAAATCTGTTCTGTATTGGGACATGCCAGCATTCTCTAACAGTCAGTTCGAATCAGACAGAAACCAAATATTGGCTAGATTATTCCTAGAGTAAATAGTGTATTCATATCAGTGATGATTAGATTCTCATCAGAAGTTACTATTTAAAAAAGATTTAGAGCCAGATGTGGAGGCATTCTATAATCCCAGTACTCAGGAGGCAAAGTAGGAGACTCTGTGTGTGTGAACCGGTCCTAGACTGTATAATGAATTCAGGGCCCTTCCAGGCTGCATTGTGAGACCCTGACTCATAAAAACAAAAAATAAAATTATGTTGCTGAGTATATTCTGATATTTATAAGTCATTAACAAATCTCCCGGAAATTAACTGTGATAAATATAATAACAGGGGAGGGGGCTGGAGAAATGGCTCAGCGGTTAAGAACACTGGCTGTTCTTACAGAAGACTGGGGTTCGAATCCCAGCACCCACATGATGGCAGCTAATAACTCCAGTTCCAGGGGATCCAGTGGCCTCTTCTGTCCTCCGTAGGCATTGCACGACACAGGTGCACTTACATACATGCAAGCATTACACTCATACACATAAAATAAAAATAATAAATATTTTTAAATATGTATATAATAACAGGAACTGGCCTTTAGTTCTAAGTAGAAACTGAACTGAATGGTAGGTGAAGAATAATGCCAGGAAGTTTCCAAATTTGGTCAGCTGAAGGAGTATGATATTTAAAGGAACTGGGGTTTAAAGAGCTCCGTATGCAACCAGGCAGGTGGATCCTGTGAGTTAGATGCCAGCCTGGTCTACATATCGAGTTCCAGGCCAGCTGGGGCTACAGGGAGACCCTGTCTCAAAAAGACCAAAAAAAAGAAGAATTCTGTATGCAGAATATGTTCAGTGACATGTACCTAGATCTAAAGTTATTGGGAAAAAGTGAAATTAACTAATAAGGGAGTTAAGGGCTTCCCCCCCCTTCTGTCAAGTGTGTAATATGGACAAATCATTTGACCTCTTAATTTTGTAATTTGCAAATATAGGGGACAGTGCCTAGTTCTTCCTTCCTGACAGTGGTATTATAATAATACACAGTGTGATAGGTAAAAATGAGTTGTCAATCTGCAAATAGATGTTACTATTATACAATCAAGTTTCTTGGAAATTTTTATTTCGCCTGTATCCAGTTTGCCCTGCACCATAATAATACCCAGCTGTGACATTCTCTGAAGACTTGAGATTTAATTGATACAGCTGGACTGTTGGCTACATGCCATATATACATACTTACATTCTTTCATGGATTTCAATCACTTGAGGTTTAAACTAGCAATTGTGTCAGGAGGTTTGTAGTATGTAACTAGTCACCTTTCAGTAAAGCTCAAATGAGGCTTTTCTATCTTGCAGTTCTTTTGAGATAATTTTTTAAAATTAGCTCTTGTCCTCCCTCTACAGGAGAGTTTGCAGCCTTCAAGTAGCCACTCCACCATGGCAGCGTCTGCTCTTATTTCTTAAGTCTTGTGTTCGTACAGTTTGTTAACATCAAAACACAGTTCTGTTCCTCAAATCTTTTTTTAAAGATACACAATTTTCAGTGCATAAGCTCATGTGGAACAGAATGGAATTTCCTATTCAACAAGAGAGGGAAGAATGTTTTAGGAACCAGAATTCTCTGCTGCCAGATATCTTCACCACAGATACCACGTGCAAGCAAGTCTGTCCACTCCCAGGAAGAAAGAGGAGAGACCCTGAATTCTGACCTTTTGGTGGTCAGGCATGATGGAAAGAAACTGCTGCTACAGCTTGGGAAATTGGCTGTGGAAAGTCTGCCCGTCAACTTGCCCTTCTAACCACCAGATCAGTTTGTGGCTGGTCATTTGATGGTGCGATTTCAATCACCAAGCATCGTTCTCTTTCCTGTTCTGGGATTTTGTTGTGGAGCACTTTCCCCTGTCCACCACCCATTAATGTCTGAGGGATGGAATAAAAATGCAGCCTCCCCTTTCCCTGTCACACATGTTCAGTCCTCAACAAATTTTATCGCAGTGAAGCTCTTTCCATTTAAATGGAGTCTGAGAGGTGAGAAGCTGCATTGGGCAGAGAAAGAGGGAGTGCTGCATCTTCTTCCTGAGCTCCGGCTCTTGCTTCGGCTTGCCTTGCTCACTGGGCTCTGCCTAAGCACGCGGGCTGGACAGTGCTGGCATACATCACCTTCTTTTCTTGTTGGGTCCAGCAATGGAGGTGAGGATGGGCTCATTTCCTCCACAGTGTAGCAAATTCTCAGGAGCACAGTCCACATCTTCCTTTATGCTCTTCCAGTTACCGCGTACTTACGTGGCTGCTTTGTCCAGGGCACAAAATGCCATGGACAGTAATTCAAAGCCTACAAAACTGCTTATTGACAGTTTTGAATGTGAGAAATTTGTGTAATTTAAATGTAAGGTACAGGTTTTAATTTCTGAGTTTTCTATTTTTATTAAAAAAATAATTTTCAGGTTTAATTGGAATAAACTAATACTTCCCACCAGAATTATATATCCTGAAAATTGTATTTTTGTTATGGAAACAACTTTTAAAGAATGATTATCCTTTTCTCTTCCTAAAATTATGGGGAGTCTTGGCATAATGATAGTTATTTATAATTTTTAAGTTAATGGTACTTGCTGGATCCACACTAATATCTTTGCTAACAACCCCATTGTTTCTTCAATCTAACTCCTACACTCTATCCCCATCCTCTTTCTAGTCCTTTATCTAGAGTATGCAACCTAAAATAAAAATGGTGGTGTCTCCATTCATTCTCCTTCTTCCTTTTTTCCCCAAGCCTGGTCTTCAAAAGGTTGGTAATTTGGTAGCTGAGTTCCTCAAGTAGAAATAGAGAAATATTAGGGACATTGGGGTAGCAGTAGGGTGTATGAGGCCTGCCATCAGTTGTTTTTATAGAACGAGCTTCTGTGGTATCAAGACCCTACATCTTATTTTTGCAAAAATGAAAAATATAAGCCAGGCATAGTGGCACACGCCTTTAATCCCAGCACTTGGGAGGTAGAGGCAGGAGGATATCTATGAGTTCTCCAGACCACTGTACATTTATCTACATAGTGAGTCCAGGCCAGCTGGGGCTATTGGGAGACCCTGTCTCAGAAAACAAAAACAAACAAAAATGAAAAAGATAGCCTAGTCACAGGTTCCCTTGACCTTTATTAAAGGATAAATTAAATCTCCACAGTAGCAAAGAAAGTAACTGGATGTTTTAATGGCAAGTACTTTTCTTGCCCAGGAGTCTAGACTCTCAAGGATTTAGAAATTCAAATAAGATGTGCTTAGCAACTGTGCTATAGCCAAGAACCTGAAAAGAATGCTATGGAGCCTAAAATAAAATGAATGAATTTCAGGTTGTAACTGGCCCCACTATGTATTTAAGTTCAAACCTACTCACTATGATTAGATGATTTTTTTTTTGCTAAAATACCTATTATCAAAGGAAGACCTACTGAAAATTATATGAACTTATGATTGCTCCAGTACGTTGGAAAATACTGTAAAGTTACTTGTTTGAGCAACAGTGTGTTTTTAAGTCTTACCTGATAAGAGAAATGTCTTTAAGATGTTAGAAATTGAAAAGATGGAAATAATTCTTGGTGATATGAAAAGTCGCCTCTAGGCATGATGCATCTCTTTGAAAAGCACTGTTTTCCTTTTAGATACCTTTTAACCTGGCTGTGTTCCCTTTATCAAGATTGGCTACAAAGAGCTAAGCGTGCCCCTGCTGAGGTAGAGCCTGCTAGGCATGTACTTAGCAACTGTACAAGGCCACTTTGTGCTGTGCTGCGGGGTGGAGCCTGCATACCTAGGGAGGAAGCTTAGTGCCTCTGGTCATCTAAACAGAATGCAGAGTGACAGAGAATCAAATAGTTTGTCCTCTAGTTTGCAAATGACAGGAAAGGGGGGTTCCTTTGTGTTTTATTTGCTTTTTTTTTTTATGCTTCGACTGCAGATAATCTTGTTGAGCTCCTAGGAAAATATAAGGAAGTCCTTGTTTGTGCTGAGCACTATAGACAGAATGTGGCTGTTTCAACCTACCTTGTAAGGTTGTAACTGTCAGTCAGTCCATAAAGTAGTTGCAGTGTCTCCTAAGATGTGTTTCGTTTTGATTAGGAGTGAAGTCTTTGGAAGGTTTGAGGGCAACTATACAGAATTGTTTTTAAGTATGTAGTATTCCTGGCAGGTTTTTTTTCACCATTACACTATAGGACCCATATTTTTGTCACTGAGATAATATTGACCCCAAAAACTGTAGTTTATAGAAGGAACTTATGAATAGAATATCCACTGATCATTTGCACTTCTGTTCATGTTAAAAGATTCTGTGTAACTGTCAAATTCTGGTTCCTGAACAGCTCACCTCTGATGTATTTGAGGTCTGGTCAGACATAACAAGGCATGCTGGAAGGTAAAGTTCCATGTACATTATATGGTTTGTGTTTGCTGGTGTTGGAAAAGGCACTGTGTAAAGACTTCGGACTGTCAGCAGAAACCTTGTAAATACTTCCTCATTCTTGGTGCATTTCCACTTGTTGTAACTCCAGGCACTGTCAGAGCTGCTGCGGACCCCTCTTCAGATCTCACCTGTCCCCATCACATACCCACCTCTTAGCCTCTTGCAAACTCAGCATCTAGCGTTAGTTTGAAACACAGTGCAGGGTTCAGGTGACCTCTTCAAAATAACTACCTCCTCAGAATGAGGTAATGAATAGTTATTTATTTTAAAATATGAAGTAGGAGCTCTAGAACATGAAGATGATTTAAGATTTAACTTTTATGTGTACTTGTTATTTGAGCACTCATTTTGTCCTAAAGGGCATTATACATTTAAACAGTGATAACTGTTTAAAGGGGGAAGGGGCGCTCAGAGTATATGAATGTTGTTGAAGGTGGTGCCAGAATTTGTGTAGGGATACATTCAGAATCTGAACCTTAAGTCAGTCACATGAAGTTAAATAAATAGCTAATCCTTCGCTAACATTATATAATTCTACTTTTCAGTAGGTTTGGCACAGCAGTACACCTTCATAAATTGGCCACAGCTTTGTCACATGCACAGATCCTCCTCCAAAGAGACTGCTGAGCTAAGAGGGCAGAAGGAGTGCCCTTTCTAAGAGTCTCTTCTTTGTCCAGGTTGGCATTGTGAGTGCTAGGGTAGCAGCACCCAAGACCAGCAGATGTCAGCCAGGAAGCTATCAGAGCCCATAGCCAGAAACAGAAAGTTCAGAGTCTATACTGCAAGTAGCCTACAGGTTAGACAATGAAGTGGTATAGATGAGGCTCTAGAAAAACACCTTGACAATTTGCCAAATGATCTTACTGTGCCTTCATGATGCAATAAAAAAAGCTAAAATTTTAGCAGAAATCAGTGATTTATGAAAAGAACAGCCACTCTGGTTTAACTCAGCTGTGTTAATATTTTTTAGAGTGCAATTTAGACTACAAAGATAAATGCACAGAGTTTATAGCCAAAATCACATTTAAAAAATGAGAAAACAGTTTTCAGTGAACAAAGTTATTTTTGTAAAGCACATAATACCTAGTATAGTCAGAAATATTTATCATAGAGCAGCTAGGTTGAAAATACAGTTCAGTGACATTTCTAGAGAAACTTTTCTACCCCCATAGGCTCTTCAAAGCATGGAACTTTTGTACAACAATGTTTGACATTTTAAGAAGCTGCTGTAGCTAGTTTAGTTTTGAAGTAGTGTGTGCTGGGCAGCCATCACGTATTGACTTGGTGGGGGGTATAAATTTGTTTCCAGAGAAATGCTGCCAACATACACACTGAGTTTCCAGAGCTTGACATATCTGTAAACAAGACCTATTTGAAAATGAAGTTGGACAGTGCTACTCATTGTGCTCTGGTACATGGTGGAAGACACAGAAGGCTGTCTCTGGAGGTGTCTTTTGTGAAGGGACATTGGAATATTGAGTGACCTAGCAGTGCATGTAAGAATGGACACTCCATGGTATAGTTCTCGTACTTTCTTTCCTCACCACCTCCAAGAAAATTGATGCATTTTCTCCATTGTATCCATGAACTATTTTACTCAGATACCCAGGTGAATTACTGATGCCAGGGAAGGACAATAGCATCTCTGCCTACAGAGGCACTGATTTATAGATTGGCCAGAGAGTGAAGTGGCCAGTGTATCTGTGGTCCATGTTACTAGCTCGGGTAAAGTTGAAAATGTTGGTAAGATGTTTGTTGTATTGGTATACTAGATAATAAGCTGTTTTAGTAATTTCAGATATTTCCACTTCTGTTTGGGCAGAGACATGTAAACTGAAATTTAGTCGTAAGTTTTGTCAGTTGAAAAGATAATTCACAGTTCCTATCAGGTTTTTTGTTTTTTTTGGGGGGGGGGTTGGTCTTTTTGAGACAGGGTCTCCCTATGGTCCCAGCTGTCTTGGAACTCACTATGTAGACCAGGCTGGCCTTCACAGAGATCCACCTGCTTCTGCTGGGATTAAAGGTGTGCACCACCATGCCTGGCTCCTATCAGGTATTTTTAAGGTAGAAAGTAAAGAATCTGAAGTCCTAATTTTTTTTTCCTCTTTCTTTCAGCTGGGGTTGAAGCCAAGGCCTTGTGTGTTCTGGGCAGGGTTTCTACCACTGAGCCACATTTCCCAGTCCATAAAATCTAAACAGGTTAAAAGAAGAAAACAAAAATACATAGGGACAGTCACCAGGCAGTAAAGTGATAAAGGTGGATCCTTTCAGTCTCCACCATTTCAGCTGTTGGTTTTATTAATTACTAACTCAGTTTCACTAAAATGTTTACTTTTATTTTTAGCTACTTTTAACTAATTGCAGTGATATAACCAGTTGTGCATGAGGACAACAGCCAGTGTGTTTTTTTGTGGTGCATATTTTGTAAAGAATTCTGTAGACTGAAGTACTCTCTGAAAACAGAACTGAAATATATTTATTCATGTTAGTATTAAAAAAAAAAAAAAAAAAAAGTCTTGTGCACATCATTTGCTTTTCCTGGTAGGCTGAGTATGTTATCCAGCACCCATGACTGCTGGTCTCCATCTTGAATGTGCAAGGGCAAGTGGGCAGGAAGCACATGAAGGGTTTGTTTACAGGGCTGGAATGGGCGTTAGGAGTAAGTTGCTTAGTTCTGTTTTTGCCTTGAAAATCACTGTTGTGTTTTGTGTTGAGAGCTTTGAACCCACGTGTGTTTGAGTGGGGTATGAGTTACACAGGAAGAAACTGCAGACTAATATAATCAGAGCTCACAGACTCGGCACATAGGGAAGAAAAGCGGACCAAGATAGGGTTGGGGTGGCACTTAAACCTGGGGCTTAGGGAAACACCAATGGAAGAGTGGGAAATAAACTGTAATCACCTGAAATACAATGTAAGAGTGCAATAAGTGTGCTTTTTATTCTAAGCTGTGAATCTTTTTTAAAAACCATTCCTTTCTAATACATTTATGTGTGTTCATAGCTAAAACTGGCTATGTAAACCCATGCCTTTGTGTTCATGCTAATTACCAACCTAAGTGGCTGACCTCTATGTCCTGTTGACCTTCCTGTTGTATTAGTCTCCATACCAGCTATGTTTGTGTGCTGTACTCTTGTGCTTTATTTGAAAACACTTTCATGGGGTCATTTCCTTTGGCCATTCCACATGATGCAGCTTTGGTCTGGTTCCCATGATGTCGTCTGATGTGAAGGACCGGGTCCCAGTAATCCAACTGGTGTTCCCATTTGTTGGGTGTACTTCTGATCCTTTCTCCTAAGATGGTCAGCACGGTTGATGAAGGGATTGATTCTAACTTCATTGTGTCTCTTTGACTTTGTTAAGTAGCTGTGATTGCTCTTTGGCTTTAAACCAAGGAAAAGGAGACCCCTTTAGCTGTCTACCAAGCCTCATCCTAAAAGGACAGTCTGAGGACAAGTCTCCCAGAATGGAGAAGAAAGGGAAATGCTTCACATCACGTCTGAACTGCAGTGAATTACGGCTCCTGTTTCACCACTGCAAACCTTATGGCAACTCACACACACATTCCTTTTGTCTATAATTGCCAAAGGTTCGAGTTTATGTCACTTCAGTTCCACTCAAGCATTGAAAAGGGTCTCAAGGAGTCTGGGGTGTTCCCAGTGAAAAGATGGGGACTTTTTCATTGTCCACAGACCTCTCTATACCTGCTTTGCAAAAATTATAATGGAGTAACTATTTTTAAAGCTTATTTTTCAATTCATAAGAAAAAGACATTTATTTTCAGTCAAATGAATAATGTCTCCCTCTTACCCCTTACTCCTCAATGTTCGCTTGGATTTTTTTCTCTCCCCTGTACCTACTTCCTGATACTTCGGTTCTTTCCTGCTCAGGTCCCTTCATTTGTACTCTGGAGTTTTTCTCATGTAAATTTGTATAATGGAAAATATTGTTCAGTTTGGATAGAAAGCATGGAGAATTAAATAAAAAAAGATAGCAGAAAATCAGATTGAAGAAATTTATTTCTGTGTAAAGTTATTTAAAACTGTATTATATAAAAAGGCAAAAAATTGTATGTACTTGATGTGAGTATGCGAATACTGCTATAATAAAGATTGCATGGAGAAATCTTAAGATTATTTTTCTAGCACTTACATTCAGTAATATTAGTCACCGGCTTTAGATAGTTATTTCTTCCAGTCTAAAATACATATTTGTTTCATAATGCTGATAGGTAGAAGCTAAAGATGGCAGATTCCTGAAAGGTCTAGCCAACTTGTAACAAATGATCTTTTACCTAGTTTGAGTAATGACCCTCAAATATTTTCCAGTGTTACCTTACACATCTTCAGTTTTAATGACTACTCTCCTCTCTTACTACATAGTTTGAAGTGTTTGTTTGTTTGTTTGTTTGTTTGTTTGAAACAGGGTCTTTCTCTAGCCCCCCGCTGTCCTGAAACTCGCTAAGTATGTAGACCAGGCTGGAGAGACATCTCAGAGCACTGACTGGATTTAATTTTCAGCACCCACATGGCAGCTAATAGCTGTAACTGCAGTTCCAGGGGATCTGACGAGAGCACTGACTGGATTTAATTTTCAGCACCCACATGGCAGCTAATAGCTGTTTTCCAGGGGATCTGACTCCTTCTTCTGACCTCCATGGGCATTACACGACATGGGTGTTCTTAAATACATGCAGGCAGTACATTTATAAAAGTAATAAGGGGCTGGAGAGATGGCTCAGCAGCTAGCACTGACTGCTCTTGCAGAAGACCTGGGTTCAATTCCCAGCACCCACCTGGTGGCTACAAACTGTCCTTAACTCCAGTTCCAGGGGACTCCGAAGCCCTCTTCTGACCTCCGAGGCATTGGACGACATGGGTGCACTCACTTGCAGGCAATATACTCGTAAGATTTTTTTTTACATTAAAAAACAGCCGGGTATGGTGGCGCATGCCTGTAGTCCCAGCACTTGGGAGGTGGAGGCAGGCGGATCTCTGAGTTCAAGGCCAGCCTGGTCTACATAGTGAGTTCCAAGACAGCTGGGGCTACAGGAAGACCCTGCTTCAAAAAGGCAAAAAAAAAAAAAAAAAATCAGTAGAGTCACTAAAGAGGACCTGGCACAAGTCCCCTCATATAAAGTAGAAGGATATGCCCTGCCTATGGCCTATGCAGCCAGAACCCAAGATCAGTAGACAACTGTGTTGTCATGGTGCTTGTAATGAAGCCTAGATAGAAAGGGGTATTGTCTCCAACAATGAGTTTGCAGTCAGAAGATGCTAGACATGTTTCACTTGCCCTTGCTGCCTGCCAACCAGGTAAGCCACTGAAGGTGACAGCAGAGACTACTGAAGTAGGTCAATACAACCAGCTTGGGTACCTCTTCATAGTTCCTTGACACTACAC